CTTGTCTGAGGTTAAATGATTTTCAGTCCCAGGGTTCAGTTTCATCATGGTTCAGTTTAAACAATAAAAACTCAAACTAAATAAAAATCTAACGCCGTGTTCAGATGCTCCTTACATCCAGAAAACACGACAGAGTCATATTTCTGTGGATTCAGGTCAGATTCATGACTTTGTGAGTTAAAACTGTCAGCTGAAAAACTTTGCGTGACTGCCGCACATTCTCACAGCAGGTGAAARRTGTGCATAAATATACKCACACTTTCACACAACGTTGGTTTTTATACATCACAACGTGGACGTAGAACCTGGCACACGTAACTTTTTTATGCGTACGCACCGTTTMTACWTGAGGGCCCAGGACCTCAGCCTGACTGAAGGCRGTGGTGAGACCTTCTTTTAGCTGAGCAGAAACCTCCATGAACTGAAGCAACGTTGGAAAGAAAAGTGGGCCAAAGTTTTCTCCACAACCCTGTGAGAGACTGATCCAGTCCTACAGAAACCGTTTCATATTTAGTTTAGTTTACGATGATGACTCAGTTAATCTGTTTTACCTTTGTCCTCACCTGAGCTTAGATTGAAATAAAGTTACATTCTGATGAAGACCAGATCTGTAAATCCCTAACATAAAATATAGGCAAACTTGACTTTATGTGTTTTATGAGTTTTTTCTTTGTTTATTTGCAGGTGGTAACAAAAAAAGAGGACGAGAAAGAGAGAAACTATCAAGTGAAAGAAGAACAGAGTCCAAAGAAGAACAAGAAACTGCTCAGGAAGAGATCAGCATCTAATCAGCAGGTGCAGAACAGGTGAGAAGSTCCACAATGGTTCTGCTCGGTCACTTTGTTCTTCCCACCTGGATTCAAGTCCGGCTCCTTCAGCAGACTTTGTCTGCTCGTCACTTCCTGTCTCTTGRCAGGAGTGGACATTTTTCAGGTTGTCCGCAAAACATTTTGGTTGTCCAAAATAATCTCAATAAAATATAATTTAATAAGTATATTGTTCTGTAGAGAACGTTTACTAAACATTTACTATTTACTGTATATTCACTTACAAAGATGTATATTGTGTACATGACTTTATTAAAGGTTACAGTTTAGGACTGAAGACATTCTGAGGAAAGAAAGATTTTTAAACAGCTCTTCTGTTCTTTTAGTGTTTTTAATGGAGCATCTTTGATATATATATATATATATATTTTTTTTTTAAGTATAGCACAAGAAATTCTTTGCACAGAAAAATAAATCTTTTTACAGTTTTTTGTTTTGTTTTAACCAAACTGAARGGATTAAAGTGCCTGGAAGAATTAAATTTAGAAGATATTTATTCAATTCAACATGACTTTATTAATCTCAAAGGGACATTTTGGGAAAAAGGCAAGGAAAGTATCAAAAAGAAAAAATCAGTAGGTCCTCTGGATGGTTCTTCTTTAGTGAAACATTTCGTTTCTCCTCCAAGAGACTTCACTCTGATGAGTTTCAGGTGAACTCAGCCTTATAAACTCCGCCTCCACATGGACAAACAGGTTAGTCACATGTAAAAGAGGGCTATCGCTTACCAACGATAACCAACACAAAGAGGGGGAAAAAAGACAAAAACAAGGAGAATTTGAGCCCTGACTGCGTTCACTACATACACATAACACGACACCGAAGAACCACAGCCGAAGCATCCAGACCAATAAGTCAGGTGATGGGGCACATGACCCTCTATGAACAATAGAGCTAATCAAGCCTATTGTTTGTCGATGGCCCTATTTTGCATGTGACTAACCTGTTTGTCCATGTGGAGGCGGAGCTTATAAGGCTGAGTTCACCTGAAACTCATCAGACTGAAGAAGTCTCTTGGAGGAGAGACGAAACATTTCTCTAAAGAAGAACCATCCAGAGGACCTACTGATTTTTCTTTTTGATTTTTTCTACCTGGATTACTGAGATGCATCAGGACAAGGCAATGGAAGGCACACACCTGCGGCAGCGCTGCTGCTTTGAGAATTAGGAGTTCATGCACAAGTTGTACATGTCTGTAAGAAAACAACGCTCCAAACACATTAATATTTAAATAAAACAAAGATTTTAGACTCTGATGTCCCGGGCTGGTCGGAGCCATGCTGCAGGTGGAGAGGTGCAGCTGCCTCTGAGCCTCCGGTCTAAAAACTCTCAGGTGATCTGTCGCGGTTCTGTTGTGCACATGAACACACACTTTTACTGTTGAAACGCTGCGAGGTGCTTTTAGAAATATAATAAATATAAAATACATAATCCTCCGTGGAGAACAGTCCAGGAAACACTGAGAGCTTCACCTGCCTTCTGGGCTGAGACTCTGCTCATCCACTGACAGACGGCACGACCCGCCGTCTCTGTTCTGATTGGGTCAAACTTTGACTATATTTGTTGAAACGACAATCAGTTTAATCCCTAGACGGCTTTAACAAGTTTTTTCTCCCTTTCATTTTTTATTAATGATGGACATCCGCGGAGGAAAACTTTAATCAAGGTCTTTTTTTCTTGGTTGACCACCGAACAGGCAGGAGGCTGGATGTGGTTGTTTGAAACAAAAATCGTCCGTCTTGGACAACCTGAATAACGGTTAATGTCGACCCCTGCTTGGTTTCAGGGAGAGCAGTTTACAGAATGCAGACGATGAAGAGAAACAGTGYCAGAGCTCAGTGAAAAAGAGGAAGAGGAGGGAGGAGTCAGAGGCGGGCAGAGAGAAGGATGTTGAGCACTGGGTGATGAAGAGACAAACACTGAAGGCCCGAAAACACCAGGAAGCCTTAAAGAACAAGAGGACCATTTTTGTTGGCAACCTGCCCGTCAGCTACACCGAGAAGGTATCAGAACCTGTCTCACACCATCCTGTCTCACACCACAGTCTGTCTCACAACATCCTGTCTCACACAAACATCCTGTCTCACACCAACATCCTGTCTCACACCATCCTGTCTCACACCATCCTGTCTCACACCAACATTCTGTCTCACACCATCCTGTCTCACACCAACATTCTGTCTCACACCATCCTGTCTTATACCAACATTCTGTCTCACACCATCCTGTCTCACAACATCCTGTCTCACACCAACATTCTGTCTCACACCATCCTGTCTCACACCAACATTCTGTCTCACACCATCATTCTGTCTCACACCATCCTGTCTCACACCACAGTCTGTCTCACACCAACATTCTGTCTCACACCATCATTCTGTCTCACACCACAGTCTGTCTCACACCAACATTCTGTCTCACACCAACATTCTGTCTCACACCAACATCCTGTCTCACACCAACATTCTGTCTCACACCATCCTGTCTCACACCAACATTCTGTCTCACACCATCCTGTCTCACACCACAGCCTGTCTCACACCAACATTCTGTCTCACACCATCCTGTCTCACACCAACATTCTGTCTCACACCATCCTGTCTCACAACATCCTGTCTC